GGGTTAAGCAAGTAAATGGTGCCAAGAGAGTAAAGAAGGAATGAGTGATGATGGACAGCTCTGATTAAGAAAAAAAGATCATATCTGTCTAGTTCATGCAGAGGTATAAATAACTTTTATTCACATACACAGCAGCAATACCTGCCACTGAGAGAACAAATCACCTCTTACGAGAAAAAACAGGAAGGCACTGGATAACAGTGCAGATAAATTGAAGGATCCTCTACAGGTGGATCAGAGCACATTCAATCTCTCAGGATTTCACTCAAAATCTACCATCCAAAACACACAGGTATATAGCTGTGGCCCTGACAAATATCTCACCCTGATGCCCCTTTGTTCAGATTCAAGTCTGAGCATTATCAGAGCATCATTTTTGGAAAAACTGACAGCCTGCCAATGTGCAAACCAACCGCCATTATCTGTTCCACAAAGATCTTAAATCTATCAAACTAACTAAACTTACACTCAGCTTTTTGCTATTACATCTACATTTAGTGATTTAGCAGATGCTCTTGCCCTGAGCGATTTACAAGACATGCAAACAGTAAAAGGCAAAGTGATACAAATGCATGTCTGTGGGAATTTGTGCTTATTCAGTCAATTCATCCCAAAGGTGTTCAGCAGAGTTGAGGTCAGGGCTGTTTGCATTTGTGTGGTCAGGCACTGATTTTGGATGAGCATGTCTGGCCTGGATCTTTATGGACTTTACTTTGTGCACAGGGGCACAGTCATGCTGGCATGCTGGAACAGGAAAAGGCCTTCCCCAAACTGTTGCCACAAAGGCATATAATTGTCTAAAATGTCTTTGTATGCAGTAGAACATGTTAGCATTACTCTTCAGTGGAACTAAGCCTAGCCCAAACCCTAATAAACAGACCATTATTCCTCCTCCACCGAAACTTTACTGCTGGCAATGTATGCATTCCGGTAGGCAGCATTCTTTTGGCATCCGCTAAACCCAGATCTATCCATCAGACTGCCAGACAGCAAAGCGTGATTTATCACTCCAGAGAACACATTTCCACTGCTCCAGTGTGTGCACCCACATAATCACAGTCAGTGCACAAATTCTTCACTGGTATTTATTATTCAAATATATTCTTAAAGGAAAATTAATCATCATAAAATTTCGGATTCTGCCATTGTTAATAACATGAGTTAAAGTTTGTGAAAGCTTGAGCTGGATTGATCATTCTTTGTTAACCGATGGATGAATAAAAATGAAGATATTTACATTTACACAAGTACTGCGGATGTGACAAGAACGACGGGGCAGCCTTAGAAAAAATGACAGCAGCTGTGACAAAAACATGTCAGGTGAGCTGTATTTTCACCTACAGCATATTTCTGTTCACTTTTAAATACAAGCTCTTTCAGAGTACCTTCGAGGCTTTGTCAACAGACAACATCTACAGTGAGCCTCTGTTGTATGTCCTCATACGTTTCTTCACAGGCAAGGTAAGGGAAAAAGGAAGGGACTTCTTCAATAATACATTAGCCTAACAGCAACGAACAAACAACAGGCCTAACTGGCCTCAAATTACATCCTGTCATCATGCATCTTTAAAAATGGGGATTAAGAGCAATCCTAGGCTCAAAGGCATTGCGCAAGTGATTCTGCACGAGGAACACACTCCTCCGAGTCACGCTTTCATCCTGCTCCTCAATGAAAAAACAGAAGTGTTTGCTTCTGAAACGGAAGGCTGCCTTCAACAAGCAGCTTGCTAACGTCCCATACGGCTCGTGCCAATGCTTTGTGGAAGCATCTGAGCGACAGCATGCGTGTGGATCAGCGGCTGCTTCACTAAAGCAACACTGATCCAGGCAGCATTACTGGACTCGGAGGAAGTGTTTCAGTCAAGCAAGGATTCACTGGCATTTGACACAGCTTCCAAAAGGCAGTAGCAGAAAGTGAGTGAGTAAGCGATTGCTTTCACATCACTCAGCAGAGCTCTTCAGCTCAACTTCAGCAGCTGCTCCGCTTTTTTCTCTCTGCCCACCATTGATTGAGGGTGGTAAGACGTATTCTTTTCACAGTGAGAGTGCGATGTGTTGCCTGTGCTTGCTGCGTTTCCTGACTTTAATGGGGCCCCCAGCAGCCTGCAGTCGGATCCAAAGTCACACTCTGACTGAGGGGCCATCGCAAACGCTGTCAGGGCTTATTGGACCCAGTGGAACTGTGGGTAATAAGTGGTCGAGAGAGTGAGGATGTAGTGGAGCACATCCACCACAAAAGAACTTTTCCCCAGCAGTAGAACAAAGAGAGATGGGGAATGACAGGCAGACAGACAGACAGATAAAGGGATAAATTCAAGCCTCTTTTATACACATCTGAACATTTCTGAAAGCATTTTTTCCAATTTTTTATTCGTTTTCAAATAAACCCCCATCTACAACAATAACATTTAGTAAATAAATCATAAAAAAACAAACAAAAGAAAAAAATACCTCCATTCACACAAAAATAAGTTTGAAAACACTCACATGAGCATGTCAGCACAAGAAGAGATGAAATACATCATAAAATAAGTCAAGAGTCTTGAAAAGAACATTCCAATCATGTGTATTGAGCAAAATATGAAGCATCACGTTTTAGAAAACTCGTGATGGCATATTACAACACAGTAAAACAATGCCTTTGATCTATTTAGAAAATAAAGAATGACAAAAACAATGGGGATTCCTATATGTGGAGTTTCCAAAACTAGATTTCAAAATGATGACAGAATGTAGAGAAAATGGGACTCCCCACCATGTAAGACCTGCTAGACCACTAAAACTGTCACTGACATAAACAGTACTTAAAGCTTTCATCTTCAAGAAATGGGTTAAAATCAAGCTGTACTTTTGCTTCAGAATCTAAAAAAAACCCACAGGTGTCTCTGTCCATCATTTCACTGAGAGAAGACAACTCAACGCTCTAGTTCTTAGAACAATGGACTGGCCACCCCAGACTTCAACGTTACTGAATGAGTCTGGGATTGCTTGTATCAATATCCTTGCAGATTTTTTTGAAAAACTGAAAGCAAGTCTCCTGAAAAGAATGAAATCTGTTATAAAGGCAACTGGTAGACACATTAAATACTGAAAAATTCAATATCAAATTTAGTTGTTAAGCCTTCTGTGTAACTTTCTGTAAAATATGTTTTTTTGCTTTTTTCCAGAGGTAAATGGGTGAAGTGAGGTCTCTAACTTTTGCACAGTACTGTACTATATAAAATTGCATTTTTTGGGACAAACTTTATTTCCAAACAAAGCACTCTAAAACAATTATCATTCATTTTTCGATTTTTCCGATACTGTCATGAAATTGTTGGACCCTTACTGTGGAGGAGACCTATGCAGACAAACAAGCCATCCTCACATATCTGGGAGAGCAGAAAGGACTCTCAATCTTCATCCCTAAAGAGCACCTCTTTGCGCAAACACAAACACACAAACAAACAAGAACACAGACGAGAGCACTTCTCAACCAAAATAATAATTAAGATATCTCTTTCCACTGCTTGAAAGACAGAAAACCTGTCACGCAACAGAGTGAGGAAGAAAAGAAAACAAGGGTGAGAAAAAAAAACAAACAACAAACAACACATCAAAAACATCACGTAAGGTATCACCGTGATGCTTTTGAAGGTGCTAGCCGGCCGGAGCTCTTTCAAGGCTCATCAGCAGCATGAAGGTAAGCACGGTGATCTTTTGAGGATCAAACAGCGCATGAGTCAGAGCAGAGAGGAGTCAAAAGTGACAGAAACATCTCGCTCTCCATGTTTGAGCATGCAAACAACTGGAGGCTCTAGAGTCCAGCCCTCCTGCCCACCCAACACCCTTGTACATTCCTCGCCTACTGGGCTTGAGCATCTCTAGGTCAGTCTCTCTAGTTCAGACAAGAAGAGAGAGGAGGGATCAAAGAGGCAGGCAGTGTGAGCCCACCCATGCACTGTGTACTGGATTACTTCTCGAATACAGATGTACACTGTACCACCACTGTGGCATTCAATGCATTAGCTTGTATCTAAGGATGCATGACGGAATCATATCAGTATCAGAGGATAATTGCTTTAGAAAAATGAACTGTGGACAGATGTTTGGATTTGAACGATATTTCAAACTGATATTGAATGATGTATTTCTTAACCCCCGGAAGAGCAGGAGGTTTAGGCGACACTGGGCTTCTGCTCTAAAATTATCTGAATTTTATTAATTTTTCTGCATTTGTAACCCTACAGAAACAAATGTTACATTTCTCTGTAACATCAAAAACGTGGCTATTTCTACTATAAAAGTGATGCATAACTCAACTGCTGAGATATAAACAGTCATTCAGAGTGTTTTGATGTGAAATGGGCCATTGCTGAGAATCTTAACAACTCAGATTTCCTTACAATCATGCTAAGAGAAACCAGGGGATGCAAGGCCTACAATACAAAATAAGCCTTTTTCTTTTTTTTTTTTTTTACAATCCAGAATGACCTGCGAACCTACATGTAATGCTGATAATAACAAAATAAATAAAACAAATAATTAAATGGTAAATTAAAAAAAAATAATTATTTGGGTATAATTTTGCCTTATAAAACCTGCATGCACATGTCCTGAAGGTAACATATTTCAGTTCAAAAATTTATTGCAGAACACCACAGATGAGTCCCTCTGAGAATCTGGAAACCCAAGAATCTAGAAACATGGGCCTTTATCTTATTAATTTTACAAACAGACAAGCTCAGCGCGTACATTATACATTAAGGCATCAGCCGTTGTAAAGCTCCTGTTATCTTTATCTCACATGCCTTTAAGTCTTGCTTTTCAGTTGCTTGCCAGATCACATGTACCTGCACTACTTGCTTGGATCATTCACAGCTTACTGCCTTTAAACAAAGCAAATCAACAGACTCCATATAAGTTTGCACGGCAGTGATACTGTAGGGGTCTGCCAAGTCCACTGAACACTACTACGGGTCTTTTATGTGTCTGGGATTGTAAAAAGACTATTGACTCACCAATATACTCAAAGACGTAAACAACGAAGAAGGGAGTGACAAGGTCGTTGATGCCCTGCACGTAGCCGCTGGCTGGATGCCGTATGGCCCAGATGAAGAGAATTCGCTCGAAGATCTGAGGAATGAGGAAAAACGAATCAAAGCCTGCACTACTGACACCATCACAGGAGTCATTTATATTGTTTATAAACACAAAAAGCAGACTCATGCAAACACACAATGTTATGGGGCTTAAGCATTGCAAGGTCACTCATATGACTGCTTTTAATTAGACACAGAGAGCATCTCCTCATTCAGCCAGCAATCAATTAAGAAAATCAATTAAGCTTTCAAGAGTAATTAGCATCACAACAGTCAATACAACAGACGGCGAGGGTGAGAAAATGACTGGAAAGAAGCACATGTTGCCGTAAGTTTGGTGGACATATACAGGGATTAGTGATGAAGGAGCAGGTCTCAGAGGGGGGAACTGTGATTGTGTAAAATCAGACTTTGATATTAAGATTTTTAATGAAAGCAAGGACTATCATTAAGATTTCGCTTTCATTTTTTAAGGCCGCTCTCCTGCTGCTGGGTAACAAGGACTTTTATGTGACTTTTTTCCTTTTCTTGCTAAGCAAACACCTCTATCTTCATTAAAGGCAGCGTCTACACTGGTTTTTAATGTTTCACCTTGCTGTCAGCTTGCTCAAATTAAAGAGAGCTTGAAGTTCGACTTAAATCAGGTACAGAAGCAAGACGCACTCTCTCTTTGACTTCTCCCAGCGTCTGACAGGCCGAACTGACGGCTGGCGCCTTTTGGGGCGTCATGTTCCTGTCAACCCACGAATAAACTCATCGCTCGCGTTGGGCCCCAAACAGCAAACATGCTCATGGCAGCCTCGTGCTGCACCACATCCTATTCTCCACCAATCCCGGTCCATCAACACGAACGCCACACTCACCTCTTCTGTCGCCTTTCATGTTCAAAGATCCGTTTATCAAAGCTCGGGGGGGTGTGGGGATAAGGTGGGGATTGTTAATGCAAGTTGCTCCACATATCTGATGTCTCCACCTCCTTTCTCCTCCCTTACCCTTTTCTCTTTCGTTCTGTTCCTAACACACTCTCCTTCCTTGCTGGAGTTAGGGAATGTGATATATATCTGTGGCTGATATTATTCACTGATTAAAGGGATAAATTATTAGTACTACTGATCTAATTCTGAAATTGAAAGACAATAACTGTAATTATTTTAACAGTGGCGTGTTTTCACAAGAGGAGGGCATTTCTATTCCTTTCAATTCACTCAAATTGATCAAAGTGCTTAAAAGAATAGCCTGACAAAAAATTCAATTTTACCCAGTTTTTCACCGAACCAGCCCTGGTGCTGATTTGGCGGACCATAGTGGTGGGCAACTGACGTAACTGATCGGCCAAGACATTTCTGGAGTCTGAATTTTGCTTCTTTAGTTTAGAACGGGTGAAACAAGGTTATTCTCACCAAGAAAGACTAGAACTCAATAGTCTCCCAAATAGTCCAAATTGTGTCTGTAAAAATACCAAAACTTCTTTCAATCAGCTCAAACTGCATCCAAGTTTTCATTAAGGTCATGCAAACTAGTCAACAACTTACTGTGAGCTATTAAAAAATAAAAAAACGTCACCACTGCGGGCCGCCAAGTCAGCACCAGGGCTGGTATTTTGGAAAAAAAAAAAAAGGACTGACGGTGGATCAGATCCCTCCATATTTAGGACTATCACTGATTCTAGATCAGCACTCCCACTCCTGAGATGGTTTATGAATACAGACCCTACTGTCCAAAGTGGCTGCCCACAGGTTTAAAGCTCACAGTAAGTTATACAGTGTCCTAAATCACATCAACAAGTCAGGCCACTCTTAATGAAGATCTGGATATGGTGTGAGCAGTTTGAAAGAAGTTTTGGGGATGCATTTTTACAGAAACGATTTGGGCTGCCTGAAAGACCGCTGAGTTCTAGTGTTTGCTGCAGCATTACCTTCGCTGCAGCAGTTCCAAACTAAAGAAGTAAAACTGGAATCCAGACATCTCTCAGTTGACTGACTGCATCTGGGATGAGTGGAAAACCGCAAAAAAATTGAACTTTTGCCAAACTATTCTGTCCCACGTATAAAACTGGTTTGACTTCCCGTCCAGGGAGGATCTCCACTGCTATATCAATAAGCTAAATGCTGCTAAATCATGTGAACCCTTTACATAAAATAATATAAATTCATGTCTGTTTTAGCTTGGCTACGTTATGGCTAACTAAAATGAATCAATCTTCGTTTCAAGGGTGTAAATTCCTTTTTTGATGTTTTATGTGTTAAAAAGGTCTGTATCTTAAACAATGTGCTGTAAGTCCCTTGGACTTTTGTACAGTACTGTTTATGGATAATAACGTGAACATGTTTCGATATCGACCACAACAAATATTATCATTATCAGTCCAGAAACTCTGTATCGGCCCATCCCTAGCTGGGATTCATGGCTCTCGCTCCCCTCCAGAACCCCATCACAGGGTGGAAATTAGACACTAAACCAGGTAGCAGAAATCAATGGCCAGCTGTAGTGCACTGAGGAGCTGGGATCGAATATATTATCCATTTATTTGCTTAACAGACTGCCTCCTCTACGGCAGTGGCCTCCATCATATACCATGCCTGCTTTTCTTACCCCCTGGTGATGTTTTTTAGGACTTCCATTAAGTGCTAAATAATTTCTGTAAGGGCTGAAACGAAAAGGAGAGGCAAAGTGAACTAGCTCAGGGCCACAACACATCGACCAAACTCTTGTTTCTTCAACCCAGAGCGCAACAAATGAACGCTAAGGACGACAACAACACCTGCTGGTCAAAGTCACATGGCCAAGGTTTAATGAGTGGCTTAAGAAGAGAACCTGCTTTGCATCTCATTAGCTGGCCTGCTGCTTTTGCGGGAGCGACACCTTGTGTAGAACACTAATGGAGAGGTTAGAGGGTCGTCACGGTTGGAGAGTACACTGGAGGGGCAAACAGGTCTCTTTACCACGTTGGGCAAAGGGTGAGTGAGGAAGAAAGGATTCAGCAAGCATGAATACTGTAGCATTAGTTTGGCAAAAAGTGAATATAAACAATTTTGCCCTTCAGCCAAATGTTGTGGCTCAGCCAAGACATGTTTGGTGTCTAAAGTTTGCTTCTTTAGTTCTGAATTGGAGCAAGAGGCTAATGTAGCTAACAAGTAATGGAAGCTTATACCCCACCAATTAGCATGGTAGTTAGCCTGGTGGCTGAATGCATGCCTAAACAATCTCAAACTTGCCTCAAACAGTGTTAAAATGGTAAGTAATCTCAAATAGACTTGCTTATGTGCTTTCTGACAATGGATGACATACTGTTATTTCTAATAACGGATAAAAAGTACAAAATTCAGGCTTCAAGATGTTCCTACTGTTTGTAGTTATGCAACATACTGTCTGAACAAAACCAAAAAAAAAATAGTACATTTACAGAAAAAGAACAAAGTTTTAATGTAATCTCATTTGGTCAATTTCTACTGGTCCATGCAGTAGAATGGTATATATGATTATATATCTATATATATCGTAGTATATATGATTTTGTTCAGACAGAGACAATAGGTTATGTCTGCTAATACATTCAGAACACACATACTTAAGTCTATAATGTTTTGGCCAATTGGCTGGATTTGCAGTAAGGGGAGAATCATGCAAAATTGATTTTTCATCAAACTATCACTTTCAGGCATAAGGAAGCTGTGGGTTCAGGCTTCCATGGTGTTAGGAGCTGTTTTACTATGCAAGAGCTACCACATGAGAGCCACTGAGAAAAAAAGCTTCCTTTCGCATGTTGGGAGTTCAAAAAAGGGGCACTCACTAGAAGCCCTTCTGTGGATAGCGTAGCGGCCTAAGTAAGCATATGGAATGTGTATAGTTTCTATTTTTCATTGAAAAGGGGATGACACAGAACATTTCTGTCTGTCTCTGTATACCTAAGTGCCCTGTCTGCCAGCATAGAGGCCACACAATACTCTGAACAACTTTAAATCAGCTTACAGTGTCAGTGCTTTCAAGCATGATTCATATATTAGTGCTGACACCTCAGGAATTCTTGCGCTTAAATGACATAAATCATCTCATAATTGTTTCAAGACAGGTTGCCTCTGCTTTTGTAGCAAGAGAAAGGTCTAGAAAGAAAGGAGATGAGAAAGAACCCAGAAGAAAGAGGGAGAAGGAAAGAAGAGAGAGCAAAGATGGGCACACTGGGGACAGAGGAAAAAAAGAGAAGGCAACAGACAGAAGGAATTAGAAAGATGGCAGAATGAGAGAGTGATAGAAAGAGTGAACTGCTTCTTTAACTACAGGGGTCAGTTGAAGCTGGCCCACAGGGATGTGCCTTACATGCCCCATTGGAAAAAAATACACAGTCATTTTCAAAAGTATGAACATCCCTAGTCAAATTACCTGCTTTGTTTATTTCCTAAGTGAAAATAAGCCCCTCTACAGTGAAACAAACTTAAATGGCATTTTTCTGAAAATTTTAGTGCAGAATTTCTATTTATTTGCTGAGTTTTACATATTAGAATAAAATAAACATAAATATAAAATGTATCATAACCTTTGCACAGACAGATTTCAAGTTTTTGGGGTTTTTTTTTACCATAATATGGTGAATTCAGCAAATAATGAGTAATTGTGCATTAAAATGTGTTGTCTGTCCTCTGTAGAGTATGTGTTCATTTATTTTTACTTAGAAAATCAATAAAACATGTAATTTGACCAGAGGCGCCCAAACGTTTGCACACATCTGTAGGAATGGACATTTTAACAGTTTTTATTATTGATTTACTGTATTTTTTTATTAATATCCCAACGATAAGATACATTTATTCATTTGTATTTAGAGCTTCCTAGTGCCCTACTAACAATTAGAACTCTGCTGTTGAACAGTACTAGCATATTAGTATCATTTTCTACATTTATTTGCAACCAAATTTTTTTTTTGAATTATTCCAACCATTCCAACCTTGCACATCCCTAATTAGGAAGACTACCTTGCAAATTGTCCCTAAACTTAACGCTGGTCAAAAACGGCAACGCAAGAGGTTCTCAAAGCTAACCAAACATCTGTATGGCTCCTGTCTAATACATGTGTATGGTGCTAAGTCAGCTAGCTCAATGGAAACACCTCCAACGCAATAGCATGAAATCTGTAAAGCCATTCAGTATGAACTCCCTCCTCTCTAATGAAACACAGCTCACAAAGTCGAAAGGAGGAGTGTGCGCATGTGTGTGGGTGTGTGTGAGAATACATGTGTGTGAAAGACAACTATGAGAATGTGTCTGTTTTTGTGTGTGGGCCAAGCGTTCGCAAGAGAAAGCTTTAAGGTGAGTGGACTGAATGTGTGACGGCTCACCTCTTGCACAGAAGCTTGTTGAAAGAGAGGAATAAGAGGATTAGTTCTCGGTATGTCAATGTGAATCTGCAGGGAAAAGAACACAAAAAAAAGACACAGGAGCACAAGCAGGTTAGGACGGATTCGGAACAGCCATTAAAGAGAGAGAGAGAGAGAGAGAGAGAGGGCCTTGAATCTGATCGGAGACAGCAAGCCCCTTACACTGGCCTGTCCGCAACTGAAGAAGCAGCAAAGTGGTTCTACCAACTCCTTTCTACAGCTCACTGTAAAGTATATGAATACTGACACTGATAATAACATTAGCTCTGTATAAACTACAAAACAGGTAGTGATGTACTGAAAATTCCTGGCCAAAAATAGATGTTCAGGACACAATAGGAGGAATGGTGAAACCGATAAAGCTTGCTTTGGTTTCTTTGTTTGCGTTTTTTGTGCCATACAAAATACCCGATACTATATTACTTCATGTTGGTTTTTTTGTTTGAGGTTTTGTTTTTGAAGAAATACATTTTGAGTCAACTTAGAGTGTAAAGGACAAAAGGTCTTTTTAACCCTTATTTCTAATCTTTATTACCACTTAAAATATTTGTAATGTTATGTTTTGGCACTTGTTGATCTATTTGAACTTGAAAATATTTTGGATGCAACTAACAATTACTCTTATTAATCTATTGACTATTATTCCAATTAATGGATTAATGTAACTAGTATGACTACTTGTCGATTTCCTCTTTTACAACAAAACAACAGAAGCCACATCAAGCCCAACATTGAGCTCTGAATTAATGGTGCACCATAGGAACATTAGAAAGGACTTTTTTATTTGTTTTGGTTTTTTTTTCTCACAACTGATTTCACTAAATTTCAACATGTCCCTGAACAAATCAATCCCCAGCGTTCACCTCTGCAGCCTGTCATGATCATGAAGTTTTTGGTGACGATTAACTGATATAAGAATAACTGCCATTAACAACTGATTTGTCAGTTCATTGTATGCAAATATTAAAGTGGCCGAACTGGCTGACAAGCGCTCTGTCTTCCTAGATGTTCACACTTATTATACAACAGTTAGTTCCGGCACATTTCTTTCACAATAGCTGTGTCATTCTGCTGAACACCGTTGCTAAATAATAACTGTTTTGTGGCAAACTAAAGCGTATGTCTACTGTGATGGCAGAACAACTAAACAAACTGGAATTAGCCAAAAAAGGAAAAAAAAGAGCTGTGAAATGTTTCACATACTGACTGAACAAGATGATGTCCGGGTTAATCTGGCAAGTGCTGAAGTGCTGAAAAAGCTGAGCTGAACCTGAGATTGTGACATTTTTATTTGAAGCCAGAAATACTTCTTCTGTGTGCGAATGGACAGCAGAGGCACTCTGTTTCCTTCAGTTCTAGCCGGAGCCAGCCACCAGATAAGACAGACAGACAGACAGACAGTGAGATAGACAGACGGATGGCACTGAGCAGATGATGACTGAGTGACATGCTGCTGGCTGATGGACGGACAAGCGGTCTGCGACACCTCTCTGTCCGGCCTCTTACCTCGGTCACTTTGGGCTGGAGCACTAAACGCTCCGGACTCATCCGGGGAATATCTATGTGAATCTGATGGTGCAGAGAGAGAGACACACACCACATATATATACACACACACACTGAAATATGGACTCTATTCTCTTGTGTGAAAAAGAGAGAAGGATGATGTGAGTGGACATTCAAACACATAGACACACAAACACTCAGAAAGGCAATTAACCACTCTTCAACGTCACTGCAGCTGGTAGAAAGCTGGTCACTTGGTCAAAAGGTCAAGACATTTTGTAAAAACATACATTCATACACATATTTGCTAGAGACAGATATTTAAAAATGTCTAAAAAATTAGCTGAAAAGAACAAAGAAGTCAAGTATTGAGGAGCTAATGTTGACTTTCATGTGCAAATGTCTGAAAACATTATTTGTAAAGCTACTTAACTTGGTATAAAGCATGTATTTGAAAAAAAAACACATAATTAGAATAAATAAAATAAAAAATAAACATTAGATTGTATGATGTGTGTGCATATGTTTCCCTAACCATCCCAAAGCTCTCCGTGTGATAGGACGTAGGCAGATAATCTCATCAAACCTTCATTAAATAAAATCAGACGTGCTGCTGATGGAATTTAACAGATCTATGCGATGACTGGAGTGTAGTCATGAACAAGGAGCCAAACCTGTGTTCTTCTATTAATAACTTAAAAAAACAAAAAAACAAAAAAAACAGTCTGGTTTATTCTGATGCTGTATAGTGTTCATACTGGCAAAACACACCCAGACAAATCGTTTTAAAAACTTATACTGACCATCTGAGACTTTTGCACAGTTCTGTACAAAAAGAAAAATCATTGTCTGGTGTTGGTTTGGTTCAGTTGCAGTGAGTTTCAAATAGACTGAACCAAATCGTCAACTGATGTCCAGTGCAGTTCAGACTTGGTGTGAAAGAGAATGTGGAAAGATTCATTCGCAAATAGTACCTGGCTGCTCTTTATTACATGCCAGCTTAAAGTCATTTCTATTTTTATTTTATTCATATGCTGTTAGTGGTCTTTGTTGAGTGCTTTAAAATGCCTTTCAACTATCTAAATTACTAATCAAATTCCACCACTCTTCAAAGGCTTGGAATCACTTGTTTATTCACGGTTCATCAAAAAGTATTTAATAATAACTGGAAAAAAAAATACAAAGAATTTTGGGAACAACAAGAAGTTATGACCAAAAAATGTAAATGCTATTAAACAACAGCCAACTGTCAATTTTTAGTAATTTCTTGTAATTAAATGACTAGGAATAGTTATCTGATCAGGAAGAACTGGTCACCAAATATGAGACATTCTGGATATTAATTTTATTTAATGTTAGTTCAGCTTAAGTTTCAAATAAGTTCATCCTCTTAACAGTTTTTTTCAGTTATTGAATAATCTACAGATCTGTTCATCATCAACCTGCAACAAAACTGGTTTTACATCATTAAAAACAGTGACAGCAAACTTTGAATGGTGATTTCAAACTTCTGAACAGTAGTTAAAACTAGAATGAAACTACTTAATTACTGAAAAATAATAATATCCCTAATATTTTAAGTTTGAGCATAAAAACTATCGAAGGTGTCCTTTTCTACCTTAAACAAGACTTGGAATCTACTACATTGACTGATCAGACAAAGTTTGGCACCTGCAGAAATGGAAGGTTCATTGTACAAACATCATTAACAAGCACTTGGATTTCTACCAGCACACAGCTGCTCCTGAACAACCAAGCAGCTGTTCTTAAGTATTATTTGTGTTTTCTCTGAATTTCACACAAATTTTTAATAGCTTTTCTGAACTTTCATCATAAGTGTCTTTCATTGTGCAGTGTCGGCCGACACCTGCGTGAACATGGCGAGGGCGCCTGCCATCACTCCCACTCAGCAAGAGTGCAGCTAATTGCCCTCTCCCAGCGGTAGGCCTCACCCCTGCAATGCAGGAGCAGCGCCTTCGCTGAGAAAAGCCAGTCAGGGGCTGTATTCCTGCAGGCTTTTCTGTTCTGCTGCCTCTGACAACTAGTTTAATAAAAAGGAATGTTCACGAAAACTCTGTTCACCTACTTCCAAGTTCACTGCGCCTACAAAGTTTCCCCTAAAATGAAACAACTTTTTCTTTTTATTTCAGGGCAGAGGGGAGGTGGCCATCACGCCGTACCAATTCCAAACTCCTCTGCAGAGCACAGAGTTTACTGCCATTCTCTCAGCGGCTGGACCGCAGGGCTCCACAATACAGACAAAATCATGTTGCAATTCTGTTGCCGCATACTGCAGTTATCATTGATAATTAGAGATCCATAGAGATTTGAGCAATGTTAACAGTAAAGATGTATTTATTGTACTCTGGAACATCAGAACGTTTAGGTAATGCTAGGCTAGTGTGCTAAAATATCTGGATTTTATTCATTTTACTGCATTTGTAACTGTCGACAAACAAATGTTGTATTTCTTTGTAATGCAAATCCAGGTAGATGTAGTACTAATCTTATATTTTATAAATGTTAACGTTTTGGCATCAGTACTGCCAGATATGCACATGAAAAATATTGAATATCTGTATCTCCCCACAATTCTACTCCATAATAATAATAAGGGCTGCACAATCGGAATCGGTCAATAACACAATAGGAATATTACTGCTGCATATACGTGCTCAGTAAACAGCCAGCTTATTATTTGATACTGGACAATCTGGGCTGCAATTATATGAAGTTAATAATGTGAGTCTGGTAAGCAAACTTGTGTTGTACTTGTAATTGAATGCTGATAGGCAACTGATTTTTGAATTTAAGAATTTAAAATTGCAATTTGGTAAAATAAATAATCTCCCCGATTGGTATTGTGATTGCAATATGCCTTACAGTTACATGTAAAAGTTACAACCCCAATTTGCTGATTTCTAAGTGGGGGAAAAAAGACTTGGCAAAAAAAGGCATTTTCCTACAAATTTCAGTGAACAATTTCTATTTATTTAAAACATAAAATGGGCCATAACTTTTTTGTGCTTTAGTTTTTTTTTTCAATTCTGCAAATAAACAGTAACTGTGCATTAAAATGTTCCAAAGTGTGTTCCCTGTAGAGGATGTGCTAACTTGTTTTCACTCAGAAAAACAACAAAACATAATTTGACAAAGGGTGCCCAAACTTTTGCATGCTACTGTACGAAATACTAAAAACACAACTGTGAAGAATTGATGTGAAAAGAAAGACTGACCCATTATTCTGGCCAAAATTATTTACATTGGTCTGATCAGGCAAATGCCTTGATATGTCAAAACAGTCTCATCACGAAGAATCTGAGACTGGTCAAGATGCATATAGCAATTTTGTAATTTTGCTCATTTGCCTTCTGCAACATCAGTATTGCAACAAATGAGGAACTGTGCAGCCCTGACAGAAGCCCGAACAGCACTTGTAGTGCATAGCACTGTGCTACAATATACTGGCAGTTCTCTGGCCCCTTCAGAGTGTGGGACAGCATGCCTGCAGTGTGTGGAGGTATGTTTTTCTTCCTGCAATGAGAAGAAGTGGGCTTTATCCCAATGTGTATGAGAAAGTGCAGGGGAACGAGACTCCCCCGCAAGACTGAAGTGCTGGTATGGATCCACTGTGTTGTCCTACTGTCAGCAAAAGGGTGATTTTCTGTTCACTGTGAAAGGCCATGATTTTCTGGGGGAAAGAGAAGGTGGGGAGCAACTCAAATCTTTCTAGTGAGTAAGAGTCTGTGTGCGAGAAGGAGCGACAAAAGCATTACATAATTCACACACACAGTGAATGAATTCTCAGGCAAAGAAAGGGGGCATCAATCAAATGGGATTGCACACATATATTAGGTAGAAATGACGCTTATTTTGATAATACAATGTAGGATTCTTGCTACATGCATAAAATCCTAATTGCAGAGGGCTGTACACTACCACTGAAAAGTCTGGAAGCAATGTTTTTTAATAATATTAAGCCAGTTTGGACGCAGAGATATATAAAATGATTCCAAATATGCCAGCATTTTTACTAGGAAGCTAGGCAGCTGTTTAAAAAAAGGAAGAAAACAAGAAAAAGGCAAAAATGAAACAAGAAAGAAAGAAAGAGAAAGAAAGAAAGAAAATTTATTCAAGCAAGAAGGAAAGAAATCAAGAAAAAAGCAAGAAAGAAAGCAAAAAAGAAACAAAGCAAGAAGGAAAGCAAGAAAGCAAGTAAGAAAGAAAGTCAGAAGGCAACAAAGAATCAAGAAAGAAAGAATGAAAGAGAACAGGAAAGAAATCAAGAAAGCAAGATGGAAAGCAAGAAAGAAGAAAGCAAGATGGAAATAAATTTTGCCTGTATCCAGAATGAAGCTTAGAGCAGTAGACGATACTAAAATGATTGTGAAAACTGTATAGCACAGATAATTAAGTTAAAATAAAATGTATATCCAAAATGTCTCATATTTAAAAAGTAAGGCACGTAACAGGGCACAGAAAGGTATTTTAATAAAAAAAATCTAAAAAGTACCTTTTGCTGCCTGTAAATGTGCTGTACATGTAAATCTAAAGTGTAAAATCTGTTACTGCACATGGTAAAAACATTATTAACATGCTAAGTGATTCCAAACTTTTGGATGGCAACATATGTCCTTATTTGACACTGAAGAGACTTTGTAGTTGTAAATTCTCTAAAATATGGTTACTCCTCATACAGGGAGTTTGTTTTGCTTTTGGTTGCAGGTCACCTCCTGCACTGAAAATCAGAAGTGAAAGTTGGAGTGCAGGTATTGTATTACCTGTCTGTAGGTGTCCTGGTGATGCTCGTCATTGCGGGAGTCATAGTACTGCTCAATGAAGCCAAAGTACTCCTGCCTCTTCCTCTGCAACGTGCTGGCTCTGCGCTCTGCGTTGGCAGGCAGGTAGCCCTGAAAACCACCACAACACACACACACACACAGTTACAGAAGGGCAGCAGAAACGCCTTTCCTAATCAATCCACTATCGAACCACATTAGCCTCTGAAATTTCTGCTGCCTGTGCACTGCACCCATATTCCAGTAAGGTTACACCCCTCCGACTAGCCCAACTCCCCCAGTCCCAACACACTAAAGCACATTTTGCTCGAGCACAACGGCCAGTAATACACAGTGTCTCAGTGCTGGATTCAGAGCTGGGTCAGCTGGGCTTTTATAGTCACAGTGAAGCGCTAGTGAGCTACAATGGCCGACTACTGCTGCGTCCTCGAGGTTTTACAACATCAGTGGACTCAACATTTGATATACACAAACAAAAATATCTGCAATAATAAAAAACAGCACTTGAGTTTCAAAAATTTTGGAAATAAAGTCCGGCAAGGCCGTTTTTGAATGACAGAAGTTATAAAGAAAGTGAATGAGAGCAAGAAGACATGACGCCACATGAAAGTGTGTTCTTTCAAATAGACTTTAAATTCAAATGTGGCCCTTAAAAAAGCAAAACTTTTATGTATTTCATTTTGTTTATTGAATTTCTCATCTAAACAGCCATTTAATACAAGTTATATAGAGGGACAATTCTGAAGAAATTAGACATTTTGCTTGTAAAAGGAAGGGAAAAGTCAAAAGAAAATAAGCGAAAAAACAGTATAATAGACCTCATCATCTCTGAAATCTCTTATATCATCATTCTTGATTTTCTCAGTCATTTAAGAGTCATCTTTATATATATATATATATATATATATATATATATATATATATATATATATATAGATATATATATAGATATATATATATATAGATAGATAGATAGATAGATATAAACAGAATGTCTGTAATTTATCCCAGAGCTAGGCTTAATCCGGATCCAGTTTGTAGAGTAGCAGCAAAATTTGCAGAATTAAAAGGCAGTTATATGGATATTAGTTAGCCTTTTTCCATCCACTGCTCTGGTCAGCCAGTCAATATCAGTCACCAGAAAAGAGGCAAACCCCCCACCCCCGTTCCTAATTCCACAGCAAGAGAGAGCACAGCAGATGTCTGCGCCCGAAAAAGAAAGTCTCATGATAAAGTAATTGATTGCATGGAAATCTAGAGGCGTGAAAATCCATTTATCACAGGAGACGCTATCCTGCACACCCATTTTTTACTCCCTACACTCAGACAAGTTCTACAACAAGATGTATGTGTGCCAAGCAGCGCCATTCATGGCAGGGGTATGGGTCATTAGCATATGTACATGTAATTAAGTCTAACTGATAATGTATTATGTCGAGGTTTCAGATCGTTCAAAGCATTCACACTCTAAGGAAGAATGAGCTGCTGATTAACATTGGCGCAAGGACTCTCAGGCCTGAGGAGGAATTTAAGGTGAATGCAAAACACAGACAAGAGATTTAATTGTCATCACTCAAAAAGAAAGAGAATGGACAGGGCTAAAATATAAGTCCAAGAGCAAAGTGCACCTCTAAACCTGCTAATGGAGATCAACTCTCCTGCAGAGACCTTCATCTATCACACTTTCCTCTATCATTCAGATTAGGGCCTGACTGATATATTGTTTGGTCAATAAAATCAGGTGATAGTTACACGGATTTAGTTGTAACAAAAACCTTTATGATGAACTGATTTTTGACCACAGTGATTTCAGTTAATCATATATCTAAATTTTCGGCTCTTACAATCGGTATTGGTATCAATTTTAATATCTGTTGGGTCTTATTTTAGACATACATACACCAGAAGACATTGATAGGTTCAGGCATGTTACACCTGCACTGGATCCAAAGTGCAGAAGCACAGCAATCTAAGAGCAGAGCCTGGCATATACAGAGTCTAAGTGTAACGGGATATAGGGTCTAAATGTAAAGGCATTCTTTTAATGGATTTAATGGAAGATGGTCTGTCGTGTGGAAAGAAAACCTGGAGACACCTTGAGACCACTGAAGTCCAAAATGTAAGATAAGTGGGACTAAGATGAAAGGTTTCACAGAGATCTATACATTTAGGCTACTAGGCACCTGGCTACTGTTACACATGCTTTGAACCCACTCATTCTTTAAGTGAACAAAAATACTGGAACGTGTGACTGACAGGTGTTTCTTGTTGCCTACGTGTGCCCTGTTAGATTAGTTGTTTAAATGATTAATAGCTACGAATGTCTTCTCATGGTTTAAGCCCTGATTTTCTCTTGTGAAGAGTACATTTGTTGTTTAAAAAAAGATAAATCAACATCAATACTAGAGGGCTATTAATGGAGGAAAAGCAAGTTATTTTGAAGCTGATAAAGAGGGAAAATCAATCAGAGCCATTGCACAACCATTGGGCAAAGCCAACACAAGAATCTGGAACGTCATGAATAAGAAAGAAAGAAACCATTGGTGTACCAACAACCAGACAACAGCAGCAGTTGATGACAGAAACATTGTAAGCGTTGTGAAGAAATACCCAAAAACAAGAGTCAGTGACATCAGAGACAAACCTCCACAGGACAGGGGTGAAGGTATCTCAACCCATCTATTGAAGAGGACTTTGAAAGCAGAAATATTTTGGCCATACCACAAGATACAAATACGGGTGCACTATGTAGCTCCAAACCCATTAAATAGGACTTTGCGGTTGGAATCGTTTCAGTACAGATGATACCACAATATGCTCAGAAAAGCATAGTGTGATCTATTGTGATGAATTTTTCACAATAATAAATATTATCATAGTACCTACATGTAATAATATGCCCATATCATTACCATCCAGAAAGAAACATGTATCTTTATGTAATCTGTCCCATATGTATTACATATTTAAGTAACTACAGTATATGCAATATATTGCATATGTATTTTATTCATCGAAGTATCTATATTACACTAATATGTCCCATACATTTTTTATTATTTCATTATTTCATATTTTTTTACTCTAGGCCTAAACTTAAATCCTGATCCTAACTACAAAAACAACTGATTCTGCCCATGAAATATGGAGCTTTACAAAACCAGGACATTTTTATTCTGAAAATTTACAACACACACACACACGCACACACACACACACACACACACACACACACACACACACACACACACACACACAGGTTTAAGCATCTATCTGTACTCAACAACAACAAACATCCCATTCAATTCAATGCACAGTGACCTCCAGATGAAGCCTTACAAAGAAACCGCTTCCCATTAACAGCTTTAAATTCTTTTGCATGGGAGCAAAATCAATAGACAACAATAACAGCACCTTGCTGGCACTAACACACACACAATGTGAGGTAAAGTAAAGCCAGGCCACAGCTAAACAGTTCAGTTGCGGTAGAAGTAGCTGGCATTGTTCAGGCCAGGTGCAGAGAAGCAGCAACAACAGGCAGGTAATAAATGCAGTGTGTCAGTGGCGAGACAGAGAGGGGACATGGTACACGTTTCCCAGCAGGCCCGGCAGCAGCAGGAGGCCCAGGCAGCAGCCCTGCTTGGTCTGATGCGGAAAGTCCCTGCCCGCACTGTGGCTCTGCATCAAGCTCCTCTCCCAGCTGCTCACACACCACAGGCTATTAGTCAAAGGCGTCAGCGCCATATTAGCGAAATGGAAAACACTATTTAATCACCTGCGCAGGTTTGTCCCTTTATTTATTAAAGCGCAGCAGGCACTGTGCTCCAAGTCTGGGTGGGAGAGGAGAGACAACTGGCTGAGGAAAAGCCTACAGTACATAAATTAACTGTGTAATTCATTTGTGAAATATACACCAAGAGGGAGATGAGATTATGCTAAATTACAGATGGTCATGTTTTGAAGAATTAGTCTGAAAATTACAACTTACAAATTTGTAAATTTGGAAAGCTCTTTACAGTGGAATTCCATTCCACATATTTTTCAAAATTACTGCATAACTCAATGGTTGTGAGATAAACAAAGTCATTCAGAGTTTGATGTAACATGGTGCATTTGAGAAACACTTATAAAGTCAAATTTCTTTACAGTGGTGGTGGCAAGAACCATGGGTTGTGATGTCCTCATTTCTAATAGAGCCATTTTATTTATATAGTATCCTAATCAACCACTGAAATTACACGTGTACTATACTTCTGAGTTTGTATAAGTAAGGTTAAAAAACATTTTAAAAATGAACTAATTTATTCATTTAAAAAAAAGTTTTCTTTGGGTACTATTTTGCCTACAATGCATGTACCTCCTCAATAAAATTTATTCTTTTATATATATATATATATATATACACACACACACACACACACACACACACACACGCAGAATTAGTTTTTTAGCCAAGAGAGCGTGATACTACAGAATTTGCCAGCTCTAGTTGCTGTTTCTCTTGGATTTTTTTAGCTGTGTTTTTGAATTTAAGTTCTTAAAACTTGGTTACAATATAATAAAACATAATAAAACATCATAAAAGCTGGTCACAATAATAAATGGCTATAATAACTACACTTAGCAGTTATGGCCCTGCCCTTCAGCGGATGAGTTAACAAAAGCTTTATGGTATAATCTGAGGATGTCTAGGACATTTTGATTTTCACACTGAGGAAGAACTACTAGACTAGAGGTCTCCTTTCTGCTCTGTTCTGGCCATAGCAGCACTGTTTTGCATAATGGAGGAGATAGATACTCTCCCCATTCAAGGTTAATGGAATGTTTATGGCAGGTCAGCCGCGGCGGGCAGCAAAAACTTCATCAAAGTTTTTTTATTGGGTTCCAACTGTCTCCTACTAAACAAGCAAGCCAACAACTGCTCTTTGAAAAGGGGGGAAAAAAGAAAGAAAAAGAGGTTCGGATCCAGCTTAGGGCTTTTGTAACAGGCTGCAGAACCATCAGTGATTTCCCTTGCCATTGCCAATCTCTCAGAGAAACTCTGTTCTGCCAAATACTAAATGCTGAACTACAGTAAACAGCCAATTCTTTTTTTTCTTCTCTCTGTTCTT